TATATACTATAGATGTACACGAAAAGCACTTGACTTTTTCTTTTACTTGGCCAAATAATACTCTTGTTTTAAAGATACTTACTCAGAAGTTAATGACAATCAAATCAAGATACTGATATATTAATATGTATTTCATTATGTGACTCAGGTACTAAGTGTTTTTGTGTCTTTATTTTTTTCCGAAATTATTTCATTGCTAGTTATTTTATTTTTATCATTACTTTTATTAACACCTTTCTCAACAATTCTTATCTGCAAATTTTTATATAGTTAAACCAACTTGTACCTATAAAATTGAAAACTGAAATGTTACTGATTTATCATTCACACTTGGCGTAACCTTTTGATATCATAACTTTTATAGGAAATGCAAGATTAAATTTATATAGCTAAGAATATTTAATATAACAGTAGAATATTTGCTAATACAATTATATTCTAAATGAGTTTGTTTCAAAATAATTTTTATAATGCAATTTCTTAGTTGGGTCTTTTTGTTGTACGTACTTACCATCAGATATCTTATATAGAGTGTCCGGAAAGTTTTAAACGAGCGCTTGTGTGCAGATAGAACGGGTTAAACAGGAAAGTCACATACTATTTTGAAAAATTTATAATTGTTAACGAGGAATTAATCTGTACGGGTCAATGAGCACACGGGAAGCAATAAATCGGGCTTCGTATACATGTTTGTATAAAGAAAGATAGCTTCCAGTTTATAAGATAAATGGCTTACTTTTCAAGATTTTCTAGCAACAAGGAGAATCAGCTGCCCCTCGCACGTCACTATATACGCATAGCATATCTGTATAGCCGAAGCGGCGAATAGCGTTTGCTTCAGTACATGAATATGCTACACACATGTAATTGTGGTATACTATGTCCCACAATCTGGTAGCTCTGGGCGGAGCAATGCAGCGAGCGACGACTGATGCTCGTTCACTTTTCGATGATCTTACCCCAATACTTTTGCATGCAGAGAAATCAATTAAAAAAAACCCATATGATATTATTACAAAAAAAATTGACTTTCTTGTCTCCTCTACACTTCTACCTACAAAGAAACTATTGACATCAGATTATGTCCTTCTCAAAACCTATTTAACTTTCGAAATATTTTGTTGGTATAATACCAATTTAATATAAGACCAATAGTTTTGAGGAGAATCGCTTGAATCGATTTAAATGAGACATCTTGTATGTATATATATATATATATATATATACATATATATATATGTATGTGTTTACGTATAATACATAATTAATATATTATATATTATATAAATTATATACCTTGAATGGCGAAATATCAATATCCTCGTCACTCACTGATGCAATCAGTTTCTCGTCAATTTTACAAGAAATTTTGCCAGAACTATTAGAATTCTTTGAAGACACCTCATGCTTCTTCCTGGTTGATTTTTTTGTAACGATGACTTCCCCGGACGAGTATCCATCCTCTTCCAAAATCTTCCTAATTTTTTTCGTGATAACAGGTCTTGCACGCTTTTTTCTCTTCTCTTCTTCATCTCCGGCCAATTTTACGGCAGGTGTCCACGCTGGATCGGAATCGGAATCGACCTGTTCCTCGTCATTGTCGAAATAGTCTATTCCCTGCTGCCGATCCAAAAATTGCTTCGCCGAAGTCTTTTCTTTCGCCTTTCTTCTCGAGGTCTCACGTCTCGGAGGAAGGAGTAAAGGATCTACTATACAAAAAAAAAAATAGAAATATATGTATTTTTACAGTCATAAAATTACGATTTAAGAAGATTTATTTACATTCTGAAAATATGTTCATATTACCTTCTTCGACTTTCTTCAATATCTTTTTGTCGCTAGGACCATTCGCGGTTGCTTCTGCTGCTGCTGCTGCCGCCGCCGCTGCAGCCGCTTTTCTTTTCCTATCTGTAGGTCCGCCAGGTTTAATGGGCCTACCTTTCTTGGATTTTTGACCTTCTGGCTTGATGGTGATAACCTCAGTATTGGTTGTGTTACTTGCATTCTGTATTTTCTTCTCAGTTTTTTTTGGTGGAAATAAAAAGTCATCGTCGCTAGTAAATCCGTCGTCACTCGAGTCGAAATTTTGTTTCTTTCTTTCCTTCGGCAACGGGAAGTACCTAGGATCATTAGCGTAATCTATCGCCGGTGTCTCTTTAACTGAAGTTGGTTTTTCTTGGGGTTTAACAGTTTCACCGTTCGTTGAAGCTTCCGTGAGTTTACTCGACTCAACCGGTATGTATGGCTTTGACCTATTCCACGTTGCTTTCCTGCCACCGCGCATAGCAGGTGGTGGCGAAGGGTCCCTTTCACCTTGCAGAAATTTCAAATAACTCGTCATGAATCCCATATTATGATCCTTGTTAGATCGTTTGAAATCTTTGTTTATTTGATTCATGGTTGGCATCAGCTGCTGATCCTGTTGAAGGAAACCTAACTCCTCCTCAATATTAGGAACAATCACTTTAGGCTGATCATTTCTGATTTCTTGATTGTAATTAGCGTTTTGATTCGTGACGTTTTCATTGAACCCTATCGGTGTTATGTCAACCGAAGACTGAAATTCATGCGGATGATGCGGGTGATGGCCTGCTGGAATATGGAAAGTTGGAAAGTACGGGATAGGTGGCGGTGCATGATGATGCGACACCATCAACGACTGATGTTGGTGAGCCGGAGTGCCAACGAAATTACTTGTGTGATGCAACGAAGACTGAGAACTGAAGGCACCCGATGTGGTAGGGAACATCTTGGTTGGCGGATGCGGTAAGTTCCATCGTTCAAAATCGAAGTAACCGTTTTGCTGCTGTTGATTCGCATTGTGATGAGCCGGCGGAGGTATTCTACTGAGATATTCCGTCATTGTTGCAGTGCCTGTGAGCTCATTCAGCGGTGTACAATGTCCACCCTTCTCCAAATTCTTCCTTTTCTTATTAGCGTTATCAGCTTTACGTCGTTCCTCAGCTTGTTTTTGCTGTTCCGTCGTGCCAGTCGGAGTAGTAATAACAACATGTTGCTGTACTTGACAGGGGCTTTGTTGTAGTGTCTGCAAATTTTTCACAATACTCATAGGATCTCCTCTACAACTGCTCAAGTCTTGTAGTGCTACCTGATTAGTCTCGAAATACGGTTGCTGCCTGTCTGACACGTTCACAAGTCTTTGTACCTGCTGTTGAACTGGTAAATTCTGCGCGTTTATATCAGTATTAGCGCCAGTGTATACAGTGACGAACTTTCTGTTGCTATTTGTTTGTCGATTATCGGTCTCCCAACAAACCTGTTGTTTTTGTGCTTGTGTGAAATCTTGTTGCTGCTGCTGTTGCTGCCTATCGTAAGTTTTATTATCCGTATTATAAGTGGCCTTGTTGTTTTCCGTAGTACCTAGTGCTCGAGTGATCACTGATGAATACACAACCTGTCCTTGCGATGCTGGTCTAGGAACGGTAACGTCCAAAGGTGACGGTGGAGTAACTTGTTGAACTGTAGTTTTATATGGCGCGCCGCTGGTACATTGGTTACCGTTGTTTTCAGTGTGTTGCTGTAACGGCGAAGGTGATGACATTGTCGCCATTGGACTGTTGTACATGGGATACGCCGGACTCGGAACATGACCCAATGGACTGGCTTGCGAATGAGCTTGCAGAGGACTCGGTCGCCGTGGAACGACAACGCCGCAGTCAGGCCCGTTCTGAGTCGAAGTGTTAGAAGAGTATGCAGAATCAGTCGAAGTCACGGACTTCGATCTGCCCGTGTGATGATATTCCGTATCGCTTGTTGATCCCGTCAAATAATGTCTGTAGGATGTAGTTTGCTGCTGCTGCTGCTGTTGCTGCTGCTGTTGTTGTTGGTGCTGCTGCTGATTTAATATGTGAAACGTTTGTTGCTGTTGTTGCTGCTGCTGCTGCTGCTGAGGATGCGACTGTATGTTACCATTCGACGATGTTCTTTGATTGCTCGTAAGTTTGCCATTAGTATTGTTGCAATTCGTGGTATTATTCGCGGCATAATTCAAATTACGACTATCCATAATAGAGAAGCTAATCGGCGACGATTGGCTGTTATCATGTCCCTGTGGCTCATTTCTTCGATGTTCAACGTGGCTCCCTAATTCCGGATATATCTTCGTCTGCGCCTTGGTCTGGATACTCTGCTGTGTGGCAGCGGCCGTTTTATTAGGCGGCGACGTAAAATTGTTATTGCGCGTCCCTTGTTTATCTTGAACCTGTGATGCGCTCGACCGCACAGAATTATTTAGAAAAATTGTCGCCGACGCGGTCGATCTGGAAGGCGGTTGCGGTATCCTGTATTCTTTGCCTGAGGTGTTGTTCGGTGTCGACACAATGCACGATTGCTGATGTTGAAGAGACGTCTGCACCTTTCCGTTACCAGATGACTGATTCCCATTGCCCACTGTATAACTATTCGTCAGGGTGTCGGAAGTGAACGTCGTCGGAACTTGCTGAAAAAATGTTTGACTACTACTGATTTGTAATGTGGAAACTATGGATTTTATGTTAACAGAAGGCGACTGAGATCTTACATTGACTGGCTTCTTTGCCTCTGGACAGCCGGACGCCTTGAAATCTGTACTACACGCGGACGGGCTGGTTAACTGAGAGTTGATGTTGTTTATAGTCTGCGTCGTGTTGAAATGAGCGTTGAAATTATTTTCATAGCCGGTGCTATTAGGCTTTGCAGAAGGCGGGCCCGGAGATGAAGGTACAACACTTTCGTGCGGTAAAATGCCAAAAGGGCTAGGAAGCTGTGCATTACTCTGATGTGTCCAGGCCAATGTCGATGTAGGTGATGTTGATGTACCTTGCTGCTCGAAGAACGTGGCTTGATGCGTCGAGCTGTAATTCTCCCTCAAAGCAGGGATGTCGGGTTCTGTTGTGGCATTTTGTTTCGTCGTTTGTGCCGATACCGATTGCGCTTGAGTGAGAGCTTGCCTATGTTGGGTGACATAATGCGCCTGCTTGGAATTAGGATGGTGGAACAAAGGAGAGAAGACGTCATAACCCACGGGGGATGGGGACAGGAATCCCCCCGGGTTAAAAGGAGATGGTTGACCTGCCAGAGTTACTGTTGTATGGGCTGCTTGTAAAAGTAACTGCGACGTTGTTGTCGATGGCACTGCTTGTGTGGGAGCCGTTGCTAAATGATGGGATACAAAGTCACCTGTTGTGGTCGATGTTGTTTGAAATGTACCGTTGCTGCCACTGGCAGTGAGACGATTATAAGACGCATACCACGAACCAACGGGATCCATTACCCAAGCTTGGCACTAGAGTGCCTTGCTTGGTATAAGGTCAGCAAATTCTTTCTGTTCACTGTATCGAAGGTACACCTCGAGATATTCATAACATAACTTTATTTATCACAATTTCAGTATGTCTATATGTTGAAACTTTTGAATAAAATCATAAACACTGAAAACACTTCCAGTAAATGCAGTCATAAAAAATACAACCAACAATTAGGACTAGTTGTATGATAATGAAGGATCCCCATTCTTCTCTGAAAAAGAATACAAAACTCAATGCTTGATTTTATGTTATATTAAATAATAAGCAACGTTTATCTATAATTATAGCAAAACTATTGACATATACCATGGTGTATGATATGTATTAATAAGCTATTTAGTTATCTGACGATTTGTACATATATATGCACATATACACTCATAATTTCAATAGTTTCGATATAGCTACAGGCAAATTAAAAATGTTTACAATAGACTGTTGCGCTTTACAAAGTAGTCAATATCACACAAGCAATATAAAGTCTTTGTAAAGCTTTTTATAAAACTCAATAGATATCAAGAAAATAAACAGAATATAGATTACGCTGCAGCCACTATGACAATCTCTTCTGCTCTTGCGTTCCCATTGACAAGCACAAAATAATCGTGCAGTCAGCATGTTTATAATCTCGAAATACAATCTTATATGAATAAAAGGACACTATCCATATGAGTAGATGTAACGTAGAAAATTTATATCAATTCGCTTACGTTCTACACAAAATCCGCAACAAAGCACAACGATGCGACGATGCGACCAGAAACAGCGGACAGACAAGCTTGTCCGCGAAATCTAGACGTGCCCGGCGACGAAGCGTCGTCTCTCTCCGCGTACCAAGGTCGTGACACTGCTGTTTCTCAGTCGCTACGCGTGATAACGACACAGTTGTTGCACGCAGATGTCCGACAAGAAGACAATCGGATGGCCACCGCATGCTAGGTATACAAACGATACCCGTCGTTTCCTGACCGCGAGAACGACAATGCTGATCTCGCTCGTAGGAGCGCGCGCGACCTTTAACATACGTGCCATACACGGTGCGACCAACCGAACGGCGGCGCTAGCGCGGAATGTCACGCTGCTCGCCGGAGAGCCGAGGATACGACGTCGCTCGGCGAATAACACTATAAATATGGCTACACGAGTATGAAGAACGCGGTGAACACGCGATACGCGGGCGGCACCAGCAGCACCACCACCACCATCGAGCTGCGAGCTGTTGTGCTCACATGATTGGGAAGAGAAGCGGCGAACGTTAGCACGCGGCCGACCGCCGCCTACATCATCCGGGATACGCACACGCGTCGCGACGGCTCGATCTCGCGCATCGGGCTCATTTATTTATTGTCGCGGCGGTAGTCGCGTTTGTGCGCGCCGTGCACAATGTAGCTTCGCATTGCCCATTACAGGCCGCCATTTTGATCCCGGTCAACAATAAACCATGCCATCTTCCGTCTACTTTGGTAAATTGTGTCAACACCGCTGCATATAATACGCAGGTTCCACTTAACGCTCGCGACGATTGTGAGCATCATTCTGTCACTGTTTAACATCCAAGAGAAACAAAGACAGAATGACGCTCGCAATCGTTGCGAGCGTTAAATGGTACGCACCCAATACAATACATGCGCTAAACTCGCGGGATTTTTAAATCGTAGCCGAATGAGATACTTCGTGTACATCTGTTCGTGAATTTCATTCAGTCACGTTATACATTCACGGAAAAAGAGATATTTTACAAAAAGTCTTGGATACTCTACGGCTTACGATTTTACCCGCGTTTACTTCATTGCGTTCGGTTTGGATAACGAAATAAGTCTTTTACAGAGAGTAGAAATAGACACGAAGTTCAGCTGCAACCTGTTGATTGTGAAATTGAATTCGTACTTCCTTGGTCGTTCCGTGAAGTTCACATTACGATTTTCATTCAGAAGTTTATGTTTTAAAATAAATGCGTGCAAAATGACTCTTGAGTGAAAGACGGGATAATGAAAGTCAAGTCGATATTGAGAATCATAATCACAATGATAACATTTATTATATATATATATATATAAATTATATATATATATATATATACACACATATATATATATATATATATATATATACATACATATATATATATAATCATAATGTAAGAATATATTTATAATTGTTACCCTAGCAATGATCATAATAATTGTAATAGAATAACGCGCGAATCTCGTTACTGATCGAAATAGAGAGAGGAGATACCACTTATTTTTATAACTGTCAAATTATTGCTACAGTAGAGACCGAGTAGGCAGTTTATGAAAACTCGTAGATCGCCTTACCCAGTAGCACGAGGAAAAATAGGATTCAACAATTAAGACACTTAGTTGAGTATATCGCAGATATCATACAAAGTATACCAATGCCACTGTCCTTGGTAAATAAATAGTAGGAAGCCAAGAATTCCCCAAGATCCCGGAGATTACTTAGAGATTCTATCGAATTTACAAAATATATTGACTTGATCGCATACGACTGCGAAGAAAAACCATATTTCAATCTTCGTTTTTTGTGAAAGTAAATGGTAAAGAGATAAGAAACAAACGAAAGATGCGCAAACGATTCTCCTGTGTATCAACAAAATAACGTAATCAAAATAGATCGTTATCACAAAGGCGTTATCAAGGCGAAAAAATATATATTAATAAGCTTCAAACTGTACAGTGGCGGTATCACAGTTATTTTGATATCGTACAATATTTCCAGTCGCCTACCTTCTTGTTATGACATATTGAACTTAAAATAGTCGCATATTACAGACGTTAGATAATTATATGCAACTATATGGTTTTTACTTTTTTTTCACACGATTTTACAAATCCACTTTTTTCATAAACGTAGAGGTATTTGTGCATTCTCAATAAACGCGCTCTCATACGCTTAGACCTATTACATAATTTGCTAGAAGTAAATAAATAAGCTACAAGCTACATGTATCATGGAAACAGTTTCAAATTGACATTACTGGTCGCGATTGAGTCCGGATGATAAATTTGCAAAAGTAATTTAGAAACAGTTACAAGCAGTTCTAAGTAATAATAGTAATAATAAATAAACGGTATACGTGGCAGCACAGGACGCATGACCCGACGTAGCTTTGGTTTCACCTTTTTTTTGTAAAATACATTCATATTAACATCTAATTACGGTAACATTACAAAATGCAGTATGTGTAGAGATGATTTATATTGCTCTGCTTTTATGTCTTTACTTTTAGGGAATTTTAACGAACGGCTACCTCATTTGCATTTTTCGCTGTTGCCATACTGCAAACTTTCTGTATGCAGTATTTAGTAATTGATTGAGATGACTCGTTAAGTGTTGACTAACCGCAGAAAACTCTCTCTGCACGCGATCCTAGAAATGAGATTCGCATACTGTATAAAATTCGTAGGAATCAATATATGTTTAACGGACTATACATGATAATTACCTCAAAAGGCTTGAGTTTAGCAGAATGAAATCTATGCAAAGCTTCGTGCATTCTGATCGCTTTCTCTTCAAGCTGTGGTGTCGTTGGAGGGAAACTTCGCCAAAAATGTTTCAAGAGTTCACACGTGCACACATATATATTACGTAATTCTTTCTCCAAATCCTTTGGTATTAATTCTGTAATATTTGTTTCAACAATTTTACACGCCAAAGAGAAGACACATAAGCAGCACGAGAGACAATAAATTATTCGCTTCATTTCCTACTTGTATTAAAAATAATTTACTTACGTCCGAGACTTTCCTCTCGGAAACCTTTCATTAAGGATCCGCCAGGTGTTAATTCACCTAAAGCTGACACTGCCGCAGCCGAACTGACTAAGGACGTCGCTGCTTGCCGTGGTAACGTGTTACCAAACACCCATCCGGAAGCTTCTTTCTTCAAATGACTTAACGTAAGAAGTAGTTCTTCGGAAGTTGGCTCTGTACTTCCATAACCTGGTACAGGCCCGTGCAAATATCTATCTATATGTGTCAGTTTTAGTGGTGTTCCATTATTTGTATTCATGTCACAGCTCGTGTCGAGATCATCATAAAATATTTTTTCTTGTATTCTAAGCTGCAAAAGATACTTTAAGATATTAAACATGACCATTCTAAAATATATTAATGCGGATTATAAATACGTAAAAATAGAGCAGAATATATTGAACCTTTTTAGCCTTTGGTCCATCATCCGGCTGATTATTTGGGTCTTTACTCGCAGATGGTGTAGATCCGTTTAACTGTGGCTGATTAATTTGCATAGACTGTTTGGCAGTGCTTGCTTTCAAAACCATTATGCTATGTTGGTTAAACCTCTTGATCATACTCTGGTGAACAATATTTCCTGACGTTTTGTCAGATTTACTACATCCGCTCCCGTAGTTCTCATCCAGCGATTGATCCTCGAAAGAAGTGATATCCAGCAAAGGGTCATTTATACCAGACTGCAAGTCCTTTTTAAGTTCTTGATCATCTATTTTGGCACATTCGGTAAAAAGATCCTTGGTCCCAGCATTGATACGATCTCTGTGAAAATAATGTGATTGAAAGAATTTTGTCCAGAAATCGGATTCTGACATTTTGTGAGGCACATTTTCCTGATGTTTCCTTTTAACAGCTGGGTAAGTCTTAAATATACATTCTATCACGTCAACAGTTAAGTTGTATTTTAATCCATTGCAACCATCAGTCTGTGGTTTAATATCCGCCTAAGAAAATTGGAACAGTCGTTAGAGGTAATTCTGTAATAATTCATATATATATGACACACAGAAAGAAAGAGGGGGGGGGGGGTAGGGGGGGGGGGGGGGGNAAAAATTAAGGATGCTTTACCAGGAAAGCACTATTAACACCTATTTCTTGGCGTTGGCTCTTTTTAGCTTGCGTGTATTCTGCAGCATATTGTGACCAAAATTCCTCTGATGATATAACTTGTGTGATAACTAGATCACGATATAGTTGAAGTAGCCCAGGATGTTCTTGTAGGGTTCTAAAATATATATTACAGTTAACATATTAGATCACTACATATCATTTTTAAATGATATGTAGTGATCTACATATCATTTAAAAATGATATGTTTTTACATAGATCACTACATATTATTTTTAAATATTAGACAAACCATTGCCAATTTTCTTACCTATTTTTTTCTTCTAATTCTTTATTAACTTTTCTTTTAAATTTTGGTAATAGCTGTTGAAGTAACTCTTTTACATCATCTCGATCTTTGATTTGAGCTTCCTGTCCATTTCTATTTACAAAATGAAATGTAGATGATGTACCATCATGTAACACTACTTGTAATTGTATCTTTGACTTCCCCTCTGGTGATATCTTTTGTACTAGAAAAATATAATTTTTTAATCATATTATTCAAGTATCTTCTATGTTATTTGTAATTGTTTAAGAGAAATGACAACACGTAAGGTAAACATCTCAGTAATTGACCATGTTCCAATGATAGAAACGTTAATAATATATATATATGTTTATTAAAATGCTTATCAATAAATGAAACAAAATCACAAATTAACTAAACATTTCATTTATTATATTGTTCCATATATTGAAAAGTATCTTAATATAGAAAAATACACAAATAATATTTTAATCATTGAAACATGTATATTCAATCACTGTGACATATACCTTGTATATATATTTAATATTAATTTACTGTTTATCCTATATCTTAAAATCTTACATTTAATATCAGCGTATTTATGGCTAACAGATACGGTATCCCTGTTATCAAGCATCCATGCTATTCGTTCATTCATCACATATAAAGTACCATCTCCTTTCTTGTAACGTACTTGGCTCACTTGCATCAGAACATCTTCCGATGACGTAGTCATGGTATGAATACTAAGTATAGTATAATTCTTCTAAAAATAGTAGACGCAATCCTGAAAAAAAATATTAAATAACACATTTGTTATTCTTAAATTATGCACGAACAGTATACCTTAATGAAAAAATTGTATTATACATAATTATAATACGATAAAAGACAAAAAAGATGAAGTGATTTTAAGAATAGAATAACACTATATTTCAGATTTCCAAAACACTGATATCGAGCGTTATCACTATACCGAGATGTCGTATTCGCGATATTTTAGCAGTATGAGCGATCTCCATGGAAAAAGACGACAAGCAGAAGAAGAAAGGAGGCCCTATATAGAAAATCCTATATAGAGAGCTGCTTGTCATAGCGTCCTTGAATATCGCGCAACCATTATTTCGCGCCCAAGTAGTTTCGACAATTTTCTCGGGACAAATTGCGCGAAAAATAAGAATGTTACAACATGAAAGAAAGAGGGAGAGGATTCGCGACGTCGTGGAAACAGTAAGTTCGCGTCGCGGCGCCAACACCGCGACGATACAGTGCGCCGAGGTGTAACCGTGAGTGTCGATTTCTTCGATAAAGCGCACGAAATATCGCGAAAATCGGCTCCACGCACGTTTTCGTGGACGAAACGCGCATTTCCCGCTCACATGGCGGTGAAATCCGATGAGAATACGTGCATTTACCGGTGGCTGGGCGCCAGAAATCGCGGAGCAGTGCAGAGGCCCGTCGGGCGGCACGGCCATGTGCAGAAACACACGTCGGTGGACGCATCGCGCGGCGAGGACGGCTACGGACGGACCGTCGGTACGGACAACACCATCGACCTGCGGCGACTGACGCCACTATGTTGCTCAAGTGGCGGCGTTGCGCTGCTTCCTGTATTGAGACTCGCCCGTTGTTTTTTACCGCATGTCCGCTGTATGTTAAACGCACGTATATGTGGTAAGAATTATTTATCATATATAGAAATGTAAACGATCGTGCGTCTCTTCATGGGAATGACTTTAGATTTTTAGAGTAACGATATTGAGCGAAACACCGTTGCCGCCATGCGAGCGATCACGTATGCGCAAGCGTGCTCGCATGAGGGCGCTGGTGCGCGCGAAATTATGAACAAGTGATTTTGCTCTCTTATACCAATGTATACACAGGCGCGAATGGAGTCGCGGATACTATTCCAGGTATTTTTTGCAAATTTCAGTCGAGACGGCGTCAATTAGATTTTTTGCAATATATCTACGTACCGAAGCAAATTGTCGCATGGAAGGTATGAGTACAAATTTGCATTATTGTGGGAAAAATGCATTCTTGTATGCGCCGCTTGCATTTCGATACAAAACTCTCAATTTGAAAATTAATGGGTTACAAGCGATATTAATACAATACTTTTGATAGTGTAATTGATTAGGTTATGCCTATGTAAGAGTCACCATAGTAACTCATGCAAACTTCGCAAAAGGGAATTCTGTCAAATAAATTCATAAGAGATACGTCTATTACATGATATTACGTATGATCTATATAATATGCATTGACACGTTATTGCTGATAACGATAACGATAATGATAATGTGGTATTGTCGAAACAGTATGTATGCGCTTCAAGAATTTTGATAACAGACGAATAATGTAGTTATTTTCTATCAAAACAGATTTCGATTACGTGATAAGAAAACCGGAACAACAGAAAATATGTTTCGGTTCCGGATGTCCACGCGATACTTCCAAAAAGGGCATGAGTTCTTTCATGAGATATTATATTTCGGAAAATTTTCCAGATGTGGGACCTAGTTCCTACAATATCTTGGAATCATTTAATGCAATTAAAACTAAGGTGTAAACTTTAAGAGATGTTATTAAATCACTATTATTATTAAGTATATATAATTAATTAATTTGATTTTTCTTGTCATTAGCCATGTTCTCATAGCATCAGTAAAAAAGGCTTTAGTGGCGTTGCTCAGTTTGCCAGGCTCATCGCTCATATGGACGATTATCCATCACCGTCCGAATATAATATTATTTCTTTTCCTAAGCTTGTCAAGCCACAAAAACATCCATTTGCATCTAGCGAAGAAAGAAAAACATTCGACATTAACAAAAATATAGGGTAAAAAATAGAAAATAAGAAAAAACTTCTGTAAAGTAATAAAGGTTTTATCGCAGGCCTGGGATGTATGTTAGTAAGGAAAAAAAAGGTATTACATTTCAACATAATTTCGGTGGTAGAACAAAAATGCAACTCGGAGTTGATTTTAAGTGTTGCAACCTTAACATGGATACTTGCAAAATGTGTAGTAAAAAACCAACTGGCGATTACTGGCATTTGAATAATAAAATTTTCTTGTGCAAAACGTGCATGACAAAGGAACTTCAAGAACCAATAAAATTTAAGAAAAAGGAACTCAAGTTATTCCGTGTAAGTTTCTTTCGATTAATATAGTAATAGAATTATTAGTACAAATTTATATGATATCTATGACTTTATATAAATAGAAAATAAGAGATTGTTCGAGTATTCATATTCATGAAGGCACTGATGCGAAGATATGGCTGACACATCCTGCTGCGGTTAAACAGTGGATAAGAAGAGAGACATATCTTTCAGTTTATTTAAAAGACTAGGAGAAACAGAAGATTATCATATGTAACAGGTTTTTAATTTTACATTTGTTTCATTATTCGTTATTATTCATCTGTGTGTACTGTTACTGTCGTGAGAAAATTATTACATATATCTGATTTATTTTATTCTCAACAAATATACAATACATTTTCGTAAACTAATGTCCATTTAGACCACACACACACACACACACACACACACACACACACACACACACACACACACACACACACACACACACACACAAAGATTATATAAAAATATTCACATACTGTATAGTAAATATTTCAAATAATATAGTTATTCAAGTATTTCCAATAATAATACGGCATCTGTATTTTATACTAGATATAATTACGTATACTTGTCAGTCAATAGGAAACGTCCTAAGTTAGAACAATTCACAAATTATATACTTTCGATGAAAATAATATTCAAACCAGTTAGTTTAAGTATACCCCTTGTTAGTTGAATTGTGCAAGCAAATATTAAGATATCCCTAAAAAGAAAAAAAGGAGAGAAAATATTAGCACGAGCTGTTATTCGAAACATCAAAATGATTCCGTAAAAAACTATTCAAGATATTTTGCATTAACATTAAGGTTCCTGATATATCGCCTGTATACACCTGTATACACATACACATACACACGCGCGCGCAAGTACACACACACACACATACACACACACACATGTATAATTTCTCAATTCAATATCACCAGTGCAAAATCAGGAACCTAAATATTAATTCATTTGAATTTTCTATAGCGTAATTACGTATTATACGAAGAATATGTAACTATTTGTTTGTTCCTTTTGGCTGAACTAGCTGCACTAGTTCAAGAAAGTTACATACACATTGAAGCATATGAAGCGTATATATGAGATTCTCACTTCAGTGTCATACATTTCTTGAACTAGTTCGGCTAAAAAGAACAGATCGTATATCATATTATGAAAAATGTACCTAAAAAAAGATTACTTATACGTTCCAGCTTACGAATGCCTTAAATATCTGACAGTTTTAACTGGTCGCTAATTACATTTTCATCTTCGTCATCTTGTCGTTTCATCGCTACCGTTTTAACTTCTTCTACAGGATTGCCACCATCAGGCGCTTGTCTCGATACTCCAGGAACAGACGATTTTGGTATAGCGAAACAATAATTTTCGGCTCCTACATCAACTTGTTGTACCGATAACTTGTCAAATGAAGTAGTGATAGTCGATTCTGTACTGTTACTCGGTGTTAAATCATTGTCGCTACATTTATGTATAACAGTTACATCGATGTTACCATTGATATTTTCCGATACACCCGACGGCGTTGCACGGAGAAGTTCTATATTTTCTTCATATTCTGATAGGTTCGTTCGACTTTTTATTTGCGTGTTAAGTAGAAACACAGCATTATTTTCCGTTGGGCGATCAATTGTACTGCGGTTCATCACCGTGCTGAAATTTCTCGCATATCGATTATCGAGTTGCTCTACTGCTTCTTCCTCTGGCGACACGGCGGACGTAACTTGCAAGTCCGGTACTAAATGCTGATAAAGAAGCGGATGAACCATACCGTCTAAGTTTCTACAACGTATATTGGTACTTATCAAATATGTTGTTAGTTCATCCCATTCTGCATCGTCGTTTTCTTCTGCAACCAATTCTTCCCGTATTACCGTCGATATTTTACTACGAGATTGCAATTCTTCGGTCGGTCTGAAAACGTTTTCGCTGGTGCACACGTCACTCATATTAAAAGTACACCGACTTGTTACGCCAGGATAAGCATGCTGCGCACTTAAATTATCGGTCTGAGTAGGCACTGAAGATGTGTTAACACTACGACTGTTTTCTTTCTTATCTTGCAAATTATTCCTATGTTCTCGTAATTTTGTAAATAGATTTATGATATCTCTTTTCATTGGTACATCTACTCCTGTGAGTGGCTTAGGTGGAAAGTCCAAAGAAAGTTTATCGAGCAAATGACTTATATGCGTTTTGGTACCTCGTGCTGGATATTCCCCATTGTTATCAGATAAATAATTATGTGTCAAAACATATGGGTCTTGATAGTGATAATGCTTGGGATATCGACTAGAATATGTATTGGAACTCGAAGAATATCCAGTATCGGTCGTTTCAGGATTTACAGTCGTACTTTGATTTGATATAGACTCGAGAAGCAGATTATCACTGTTTTCAACAAGAAAAGCAGTCTGTTTTTTGCTAATCACACCGGTTTGATCGCTCTGAGTTTTGCATTGCTTAGGAATTCGTGATGTTTCAGGAGGATATGTAGCAACTATTGCAGATCCTAAAGTCTCCATACTCCTATTGTCAGTATATTCATTTTCACTATTTGACTCATTGATCTCAAAATCACTGTCAAAATCTTCTTCGAAAGCCGTGTTCGTGACATCACGTAAGCGTGACTGCAAACGTTTTGTGATTTCGTTTAATTCATCCAATTTTTGCCTGTAATACGTTAATTATGGCATATGTACGAAAAATAACAAAACAATTGTAGATAAGTAACTATGGTAATATTACTTACTTCAAAGATAATGACAGAATAGACGTAGAAACATTTTCTAAATTATGATCAGTATTTGCTGTGCAAATAGATTCGTCCTGTTTACTATTATCTTGCATGCATTCGGTTTGATTATGGTTCGCATGTGATAATGTTTGTTGTGCGTTATTCGCTTCTACATTGCTGTAAAGTATACTGAACGGATACGACCACTTTGCATGTGATAAATCCTGGCTAGTATATCCTGATAAATTAGTAGCGCTAATTGACGCAAATTTTTTTAATGATGATAAACTATCTAAAGGTGTTATATTTATCTAAAACAAAATTGAAAAAAAAAAATATATATATATATATATATACATAAGCAGGAAATGAAAAATTAGTGTAGGATTGAGAATATCTGTTTAGAAATTATCTCAGAAATTTACTTTAATTTGTCCGTTGCATTTTCCACTAAAATCTATGATATGGAACCATCCAGATATTGTAGGAAATCCAGCCATTAGAACCGAAAGATCGACAGCAGCAAAGCCAATCACTGTATCTTTTTCTAAATTTACTACTGTCGTATTTGAATCAATTAAATACCATACTTTAAAAATCAATCTCTTTTCATTCTGAAAAAAAAAAACACATTTTATATAATGTACACATAAAACACATATACAAAAATGTTATATATAATAAAAAATACAATGATACATACATTCAAAAGTAATTCTGTTGGTAACTTTGCATCGTATCTCCAATTCCATTTTGGATTACAATTATGTGGATAAATATTTGTAATTATGTACGAATTCAATTGACCACTAAAATCAGATTTAAAAGTTAAATCTTGGAAAGTAACATATGTACTTGGTTCCACTAACTCATTTAGTCTTTCAATCTTTGGCAAATGTAGAGCACATTCAATATCTACAACAGCTCGGAAGAAAGAACTATTAATATTCGATTCATCCTTTCTTGCATTTTCTTCAATTGCAAATGAATTCGAGTGATCGTTATAAATATTAGTTTGCTGTTGATCTAATTCGTCGTACTCCGCACCAACACCAACACTTCTATACATTTCAGTGGGTAATTGAAAATTATTTTTCGGGCTGCAACTATCATTATCATCAGACAGAATATTACTATTTAGTCTATTTAAGCATAATTCTTCTCTATTTATTTCTTCCTCGTCTCTCTCTTGTTCCTCTACTTGCTCTATTTCGGTTTGAGCTGACTGATCTATAGTTATTTTGTTAGTACGTAATGCGCATGCATTTGCCGAACTAGCAACTGATCCATATGAGACTAGATCTTCTTGAAACGGGAATTCTAATACTCTCCTATCCTTAAGAACTGAAATATCCGTTTGTATTTCTTGATTCTTACAATTAGTAATGATCAAGTTTCGATCAGACGTATCATAAGTGTGATTAGTATAATTATCATCGCCAGTGGATTGCCCAGGATTGTTTGACACTTCAGTGTTACATTGTGAGTTCTGTCGACCGCTCAGTTTGTATAGTTCACTTGTACAGTTTGTGTTGTCAGGAATACGGCATTGCTGGCTGCTAGATATTTGTTGCGTAATAATATTAATATTTCTTAGACCTCTTGATACTTCTAATAATGCAATTTGTTCTGCAGTGCCCAGCGCGACCAGTGCAAGCAGTTCGCCACAAACTTTTCCACTTACTAAATCGTTAATATTAACCCAACCGTCCACACTTATTACAGGATACTAAAAATAAAAAAAAAATATTAAATAATTAATCGATAATATTATAACATCTAATCAAAGTAAAATGTTGACATAATTACTTTCGATAGTAACAAGTGGGGTAAAATAAGTGGATCTCTATATGCGATATATAGTTGATGTATAGGCAATTTCGCTATTCCCAACAAATTATCCGTCCTATTGTTATTCTGTCGACTGTATATTTCTATGATTATGTAATTGTCTTTGATTCTTTCTAGTAGCTCTGTGCCGTGAATTAAAGGTACTAGCTACAATCAATGTTTTTAATATAAAAATTACATTTTTAGTATTAAAGTCGTTCTATTAAGTATGAAAAAAAATGTTTACTTGAGAAAAATGGTAGAAGGGATTTTTCGTATTACTGCAAATTTGACTCGTCGCTTTATCTTCTCGCCAAAATGCTCGGCATATCAGATAGGTATTAAATTCCGGCAGATTTTTACCTTCAGCAACGTATATTAAACCGTGAAGTAAAACCTAGAATCAAATGTGTGTGATAAAAGACACATAATAAATATTCATTCGGAATATAATTGTAATACCATTTGAAAAGTTACCTTATCATTAACAATAGTTTCTGGGTTACTTGTGTCAACTTTCTTGTTATCTAAGCTTTGTTCTCTGTGTTCCGCTATATCTTTTGCAGCAACTAGGTCCTTATTGTTATCGCTAGTTAAACACTCAATTCTCTTGGCAGAAACAGGCGAAACTCTACTATTAGACTTGGAAGAATGTGTCCCTGTTACATTCCTATGTTTGTTATTATTTGTGCTTGTTAAATGCTTTACTTCCAGCCTAGGAATATTCTCTTTTGCAGATATTACAGCATCTAACAAAATAATTTTATAAATAGATATTTTAATATTTGTTTATTAAATCTCAATATTATATACGTACATATATATATATGTTTTAATCAACGGCCTAAAATCGGCTGTTTTGGATTTTTTACATTTTCGTCGATTTTGTCAGCCCCGTCGTGAAATTAAAAATATTGACTTTATAATAAAAGTCAATGAAGAGCAAAATTTGATGGCTAGGTCTTTTCGTCAAAGAAAAATTAATATTTTTAAAAAATGTTTTTAGATTACCTGTTTTTCTATTGAGAACGGACTAGTTAGTCAACTTCTTAAGAATAATATTCAAAGAATTATATTCGAAATGTTCAATAATATTCAATTTAATGAAAACAGAGGTGTGTTCATGAGGATCCGTTTTCTTGAGTTTATTAACAACGTGTCCTAGTTTAGTGAGCAAACAAAAATTATGGATGGACAAATGTGGATAAATCATGGACAAACGACTCCACTACGTAATTTACTACTATGTAATTTAAATAATACATAATTAGTTGTATTTATGACGATTATTCTGTTTTCTGACAAATTTTATAAAAATGGCTTAAAAATAAAATCATAATTCTTCACTTTATAAATATTGTGTTGACAACGTAATTGTTACTATTTTCTTTGAAATTTTTGTTTTGTCTTTAAAGAAACTCGAGTTATTGAACATGATTTCTTGTAATCAAGTTTTTTTTTAAGAGTTTAAATTAATTAAAAAGAATAAGAAAAGTGAATTGCTCCTATACCTGCAAAACCCCCGTGTCTGCTCTGGATTTTTTTTAGGAAGGTTTTTGAAGTCTTTAGTTTATCGTCATAATGACTTGTCAACAATTAGTTGACAGAATAATAGAGGCCATAGATAGTATCCGCATTGAATTTAGACAAATTAATCGGCAACGATCCATAATACGAGTAGCGACATATTTGCAAGCGGATGAACATTTTGAATAAATAATATGATTAGGATAATAATTTTCACCTAATAAAAGCTATAAATGTGTTCTCCGTGAGTTGCAATATTAATAAAATCGTCTATATCTCGATAACTGCCAAATTGATAACGTACTATAACGTACTTGAAGTTTTTTATTTAGAATTACTTGTAGAATACATTATAAAAGTCGGTTTCTTCGCGGAATACCCTGTATATCTAGACATGTTTAGTTGTTATTAATTACTTGTCTTAAAGCACATAATATCTGAATTTGTTATTCAATTTATTTACTAAAAATGAAAGATTGCATATTATTAATTCCTCAAAAAACATTTTGTGCGTGAATATTTGGCATATTACGCGTGAAAATTACTTGTATACGAAAACAAAATCTTATCTCAATACGTAGTCATAAAGCTACCAAATGATCAGTAAAATTTGGGCGCTATACTTTCTCTACAAAAACATGAAATGTACGCAAAATCAAATTGCTCATGGGGGGGAGGGGGCGATTGTATGAGCGCAGAAAACAGCCTTCGAGTAGATATCTGATTTATGAGCAATAAAATATACCATTAAATTACAAGTAACCGCGAGCAATATACTGTAATCATAGCACAAGCTTTGCTAATGTATAATACATAGTGTATCAATTTACGTGCAATGTACATGATTGTACGCATTTCACAAATAAAACATAAATAAATCTCATACAAGGTTCATAAACGTAATAGACGCAAATCTTATACACAAAAATTGTTAACTAGGCGTATTGTTACGGCGTCAATCAGATAAATTGTTTAGTTATTAATGTTATAATCTTACACCTTACTGAATATATTAACACACACACACACACACATATATATATGTTCAATATATTAAAATGATGATAAATATCTTGAGCTTTCGTATTGGGATCACGACTTATAGATGTTCTACTGTTCATAAGTCAAAATCGTTGATCATGTCTCAGGCATGTAAATGTTCTTTATTTAGCTGAAATGTTCTTTTTTTGGCTGCAAGCAATCAGGAAAACTGAAAAATAGTGTGAAATGAATTGTTTTTCACTTAAATCAAACATATATAATTGCAATATATTGCCGCGTACATAACTAAATACTTTTAATATTATTTCAAAAAATTCAATAAAAATATTTATTTTAATCAGCGGCTCATATAGATCAATGAAAAACTATTTACAATTATAAATGGAATTTTATTGCAAAATATATATTAGATTTTTTGTTTACTATCAGAAAGTGAAAAAAAATTGTTTAATAGATATCGGGAGAGAGTTCAAAAATGGCCTTTTTGACCCTCATCCTTTACACACTGAAGCATTAGAATCTCGTACGTATTTCATTGTGTATGTAAATTTCTTGAACTAGTGTAACCAATTCAGCTAAAAGGAGTGGATCAAATGTAATGTGCTTTTGGTCTCTGAGCGTCAACTTAAATAGTCGCATGTTTCGCACGAAAGTCAATATCAACGCAAGGCGTTAGTAATACATACATACATACATACATACATACATACATACATACATACATACATAAAGCAAGATTGGGAAATAACGCGTTACTTGTAAAATGTAACGACGTTACATTTTCTTTGGTAACAAATAACGAAATTGACCGTTGCTTATATCGTTACTTTTTTTATGAGTGTGGTACTTTATATAAAATTGTAGTAAGTTTCGGAACGCAGTGAAATAACACAATGGCAGAACCTATATGTTTTTGAAATATTCTTAGAGTATAAGTTTTTTGATTGAGCTATTCCGCTACGTTTCGAAACTTATTAAAAGTCGCAACATCTAGTGACTTTACATAAAATACTGCTTTAAAAAGTATTCCTGACTGTTTCGTTTCTTTGTAATAATATTCAATGATCGTTTAGAAGGAGAAATAAAATGAGAAAAATATAAAAATCTTTAATAGCTCCTGCCCACAGGATGCGGCAACTCTTGCTGCGCGGCGGAAATTCGCGCAATAGTTAATCAACGTGCCACTTTTCTGTAACAACTTTCTAGCTCTTTCGGAAAACAGCATATTGATTGTGTTTTTCCGACATGTTTACCAAGAGATCATCGTGTTTTTCAGCATAGTTAAAGTATGCTGGAATGTTGAGAAAACTCAAACCGCTAGTATCGTTCAGCAGAAAATCTTGCGAACGGAGGCTGTTCGTAGTCAATTACATCGCTGATCATCAAGCGTTTGCAGTGAGCTGCTTTTTTCATCAAATGTTGCCAATATATATGCGATCATTTTATTGAATATGATATTTAATTTTAGATTTCATATAATGTTGGAAAAAAAGGAATTAATAATTGCCAGCAGTTTGCACCCCAAATTTAAATTGAATTGATTAAACAGAAATGATCGAAATCTTGCGAAAAATTATTTAAAAGATTTATTAAGAATCTGTCCAAATGAAAATTCTCCACAATGTGATATTAATCGAAGATAACGATGAGTTTTTTTTTATATTTAATAAACAAACAATATGTACTACATCTGCTCAAGATGAGTTGCAACGATTTTTAAAGTCGAAAATTACTCATGTCGAAATATTAAAAAATTACCCAATAATTAAGAAATTTTTCATTAAGTACAATATTGTAATACCGCAATACCGAATAGTGCATCTGTTGATTATTTAGCATGAGTGGTTTAATTCTAACACCACAAAGGAGTCGTTTACATGATTCTACTACAAAACGTCAACTTTTATTAAAAATGAACAAGTATTTTAAATTTAAGAAAAAACTTACAAAACAATAATTTTTTTAATCACAAAAAGTATATATATATATATATACTTATATTAACTTAAACCAAACCCAAGTTAATAAATATTAAATCAAACCCAAGTCAAGAACCCGAATAACATATAATTAAGTTCCATTTAGCCAACAACTATTCGAGATATGCGCCTCTAAAGTTTATCGCCAGGTGTTAGCGTTATCTTAGCAACTACATATGAAGGTCACACGATCGAATTCTTTGGGGTACTTTATTAAAATGAGACTCCTTGCCTCTCACGTGTGTATTTTCAAAGATATTTTAGGATTCCAAAGAGCAGTCGGTGATGGTTGTCTTAGCTAGCCCGATTACTGACCACTGTTTGGAATCCCAAAATACCTCAAAACACACACACACACACACACACACACATTCGCGTGAGAGACAAAGGGACTCACTTTAATAAAGTGCCCTGAAGAATTTGACCGTGCGACCTTCACACATGGTGCAACTAAGATAACGCTAACGTCTGGCGGTAAAAACTTAAACGGCGCATCTTCTGCGCATCTTTAGCGGCATATCTTCTGATAGAACTCATATTTTTCAAGATATTTTAGTGTCCTGACCCTTTTTTACACCCTGTATATATATTCCTTACATGTATACAGGGTGTCCTATTTTAAATAATGCATTTTAATATCTCTGCTGTAACTCGTCAAACAAAAAGTTTTATAGTTTGAAAGAGAACATATGATGAAAATACGGACTTAACCTTAAGTGACCTTTTCAAGGTCAGGTGAAAGTCACTAAACATTTTTAAATGAAAACCTCCATTTTTTATTTCATATTCCTTTCGCTGATTTTAATATCTTTTCAAAACACTATAGCAAAGTATTTTTTCATTAAATACTTTATGAGTTATGAGATCCGAAAATTAACAAATAAAGATTAAGTCAACTCACTATCTTTGCAATATATATATATATATATATATATATNAAGCACTACCTTTGTTTCTGACAGATGACCTCATACCGAGAGAGAAAGTATCTAAGTAGTATTTCCGTCTTTATCTATTTGTGTCCGTTTTGGTCTTATCTTAGCCTATGTAAATTATATAGTATGTTAGTAAGACAGAGAGCGAGATACTATTTAGACGTGATCTTTGTCTCTACCAGGCCACGGCTCCCACCACGCCAGTGTTCATTCCAGTATGTTCTTTAGTTCAATGATATATACATATAAGATTATTAGATATATTAAGATCATCTTAAAGCTCACCTCGAACTATGTTATACTAGATAAAAAAATTTTCAAGCAGTCCACTAACAGCAAAATAAACTAAACTGATCATGTTGCGTAATTCATCCTGTATATATCACAAATAATACAGTATACACACGCAATATGTACATACAGATTACTATAAAAAATGAGGCTGATAAACTTGACGCAAATAGAAAAAGCATCAGATCAAACATTTTTTGTTAACATTTTTTACAATGACATCTTGTTTTTGTGTTATGTTATATCTCGATCTAGTTTTCACACCCTATGTTTATACAGGGTGTCCTAAACTAATGTGGGTTCCAATAATGTACAGATAGAACAGCTGAAACTGAACGGAAAAATAATAAACTTTTTGCAAAATTCACAATAATTAATAAGGAATTAATTATTTTGTCTCAGCTAATAAGCATGGGAAACGGTAGACCGAATTCTATAAGGAAAAATTGCTTACTTTTAAAGATTTCCTAGAAACGATGAGTATCAACTAATTTCTAGACAGAATAACACAATAAACAACGAGCGGCATGTGACGAAAAATTATGCGCCGAAAAAAATCACGCCTCTTGCTATCAGTTGATACTTATCATTGCTAGGAGATCTTCAGAAGTAAGTTATTTTTTTATGCAAAATCCGGTTTATCACTTCCAGTATACTCATTAGCTAAGATAAAATAATTAATGCCTTATTAATTATTACGAATTTTGCAAAATAGCATATGACTTTTCTGCTCAGTCTCACTCGTTCTGCCTGCACACCGCGGAAACCGAGATTAATTTCGGACATCTTACCAACATACTTACCAACAAATTCTCTCCCAAAATGGAAACGATCACAGCCTAATTCTGCTGTCACTTCTAATTCGCCTATTTTAAGGCCTTTATTGCTAATAGTTATACGCTGAGTACTACTTAAGTTTGTAGTATGCATAATATCATTAATATTCATGGAGCCACATCCTAATTCGATTGGTAATTTTTGATTATAATGTCGGACAAATATTTTAAATTTCAAAGGAAAATTTCTCTTTATAATATGTCTTGATATACCATAGACACCTTCATAGTTGAAGTGAATCACTGAAAATATTTCATTTTATTCTACTGAATATCGTACATATTATTGTATACGTGAGGAAATTCTCTCATTATTATACCGTGTTAAAAATATTTTCTTAATAATGTAAATATTTACCTTGACCCACTTGTTTTTTAGCGCATGTTCTTATAAATTTAACTTCTTTATTAGATTTTATATTTGTTCGTTTTGCAGTTCCAAATGTTATATCATATTGGGCAAAATATATCAATGACAACGATGTACCATCTGTGCTTAAAAAATAGTATAATTAAAGATGATACATATTTATTACCTTAAATATAGTATATTATTTATAATAAAATACTTAATAGCTTAAAGATAGTATGTATCTTTTTCTAAATTTAATATATATTTAATANAATATGTTTCTTAGTCTTCTCAAATATTTATAGAAGAATGTGTACTTTCTTATATAAAATATAAAATAATAAAGAGACTCAAATGTACATACATTGCAAACATGTGGATTTTGCACGTCTGTAACCTGCAGAATTCAATGTAAAGGATTTAATAAAAATTCTTATACTGTCTATATGATCTAAAGGATATGTCCCTAAAAAAAACAAATAATTTATTAATAAACTGTTAAGATTTTAACTTAACTTATATTTTATTTTGTAAACCTTTTGACTCGGTATAAGTTGTCTTCTTATATAATGTATCTTCTGTAGAAATATTTGACTTGATAGAAGAACCTTTATTTAGTTTAGTATTTATATTATCATATTTATAAGCTGTAATTGTTTTAGATGCTAAATCTATCAAGCTTGGAGTCGGAGATGTTAATCTCAATGTATCTAAAGCCTTATTTTCTTGTATAGAAGTCATTTCATTTCCCAAGATATACTCATATAGTTTGGCTTCATTTTCTGCTGAAGTGTATAGATATGATTCATTGTTCACTGAACTGTCACTTAAGGTTAAAGAATCTTCATTGTATGTTTCTTTCAATATTGCTCCTCTAAGTTGCTGTGCTCTTGCAACAATCTGGGCAACTAACTTGTTTGTTATCATTTCATTGAGATTTTTCCTAGATTCTTGAAACTCTGATCTCTTATCTTTAAGTATAGATTTATATGTATTGAATGTATTAACTTTTATAGGTTTTATAGTATTCTTTTTAATGTCTATATCCTTGTAAGATGATAATGGCATTTCTCTGATATTTTGTAAATTATCAACAGCAGACAATAAATCATGGCTATTTTCTGGATTCTTACTAGATTTATATGTTTTCAATTGCATATTTGGAAGCTTTGCCAAATATGTTAATTCTAAAGAAACATGTATTTCACCTACTTTATTGCCACCGTCACATAATACTGGAACATATTGAGAATATGATTTATGTGTAAATATCTTAAGTAATTCTCCTATATGTGCTGTTCCAATAACTTTATGAGTTTCTTCTACAATAACCACCAATTCTACTGTTTCACAGTTCTTAACATAATCCTCAAAAAGTGTTGCATTAGTCTTTATAGCATATATCTCGGTTGAATTTTTATTTATTTTTACTGCATCTGTAGTACTATCTACTGGTCTGGGAAAGAGAATATGGAAAAGTTATGTTATAATTTTATATGATATATAACATTAGTAGTTATAGAAAATCAAAAATTATCAAATTGGTTTCATGCTTGTTCCGTAAACATAAACTATATGTCTATATTACTAAACTGGTTTTAAGCTATTGTATAAACGTAATCTATACTTTGCACAAAATTTTGCATAAAACTGTATAAGAAGAAAGTAATTAAATCTTGGACGCTACAAATATTTTTAAGTCATCAATGCAAAATTTGTTTAGAAACGATCTCATTTCTGTTCTGTTGTCAGAAAACAAATCTTCAAAAAAAATAAAAAAAATAAATTACCTGAATTGTGCACTGTCGTACTCGCCCCACCAGGAAGCCACCACTATAACAGCTCCAGGGTTTTTTTTAGTCCAGAACACTTTGTCGATAAGGAGCTTCAGACTTCCGTGAACTTTGCCTTCAACCAACGGTGGCAGAGATTTACACAATTTTACTTCCGTATCCATTTGTTCTTTGTGAGACGATGCATAACTGACGTTTCACAAACCTGTCATCCAGTTAGGTTAAAAGCACTATAAACCATGCGGCAGAATGGGTGTTTATTCTCTCTCTCTCTCTCAGAATATAATTACAGGCTACCAACAGCGTCCCAACACCATTTTCACAAATGAATGTTTACTTCACTGATCCACTACGCAGGGTGCGTTCCACATAACGACCGCAATGCTCAAATCGTCCTTCGCGCCGTTCCACTTAATGCCCGCGGTGTTCACTGCGTATTGTTGTTACTAGTTTTATAACTAATGCTCATAACGCCCGCGTTAGACTACAATACACAGAGGGTGCATTGGGAACTGACGGGTTAAGAGTAAAATTATACGGTGCGTAATAGAATTGCGGAATAGAGAGTGCGTCATAAAAGCAACCAATCAGTGTTACTCCGTTCTTTTCTATCACGCAAGTTTTATGTGCTAATTGGTTGCTTCTATGACGCATTCTCTATTCCATAGTTCTATTGCGCACCGTGTAATTTCACCCTAAGATGCAAAAAATATAGCGTTTCTAAGATCATGGCGTTATTTTTAAGGTTAAATTTTGGTTAAATGTTCTAATGACAGGCTTTTCCAATATTATGCCATTAATCATGTTTAATAATTTTTACTTTTCACACATTCAAAGTTATACAGTCGCACGAATAATGAAAAAGTTCATGTGGAATCGGTAAAGTTGAAAATGAAAAATAAAATTTTTCACGCGAAATTACATGATCGATATCCTGCTGACTGCAGGCTGCGTTCGAGAAGTATGTAATTAGTACACATTATTGCGTCATTCCATCTTTGTTGTATATCTAATGATTGATAAAGATAGAATATATAGAACCCAATATTAGGTCTGTTCGTTTTCGCTGGGCTAGTGCAATAAGTTAAAGTGAGAAAACATATACTTGTCTCGCTTCAACTTATTGCACTAGTTCAGCGGTGCAGCGAAAACGAACAGACCTATTGCTAAGAGCGTGCTCCCCGAACGCACCCGTAGTCATTTGATCTATTACCGCGATTAAATACATACATACAGTTTATATAGTTAATCTATGATCCTGGTTTAAATTCATTTCCGTATTTATCTGACATTGGCAACAATCAACAAACGTTGACGCACATACGGCATATAACGGATCTCAGGGAAGCGGTAAATTGAGCAAAATGACACTAGAAGAATATAAAGAAATTGTAGGATTATGTGCCATGTATATCACAATGTTACAAATGCTAGCCGGAACGTAAGTTGCGATGTAATAACTTTTCTTAAATCTCGTGTTTTTTTCAGTAATTACAATTAACTATCTCAACAGTTACTGCAATGAAGAACTTTATCTGAAATTATTTAATAAATCGATTAATAAAATCGGGTAATTAGATACTGTGTGCAAAAAAGTAAAATATTTTCAATATATACATATTCTTAATAAATATGTTAAGTCATTAAATATGAAATGTCCGGTTTCGAATAAAAAGTTTAGTTCATTATATCTCAAACAAGAAGCAATACAATTAATCAAAGTACGTACCTAAATTATCGACATAGTTTTGCCATCTTAACAATAGCTTATTTATACTGGCAGTGAAGAGACCTGGAAAATGAGTAGCAAATGAAATCGTGAAAAGTATTTCCCACAGCTTGTTGAGAATTGAATATTTTTCTTTGCAAGAAGTAATCCAAAGCTTGGAAGAAGTAATCCAAAGCCTGGAAGAATTGGTAATCAGTTATTGCACAGTCTGATGAATACAGTGGATAACAGAGAATTTCAAAGTTCAACTTCTGTAGTTTTGAGCAGCATTGTGCGACATCCCTTACAGTAAAATATTACTGTCTATGATAAATTGACTAGTAATAAATTACTGTTGTTCAGTAATTTTATTATTTATACAAATAATAAAATTACTAGACAGCAATAATTTATCACTGGCCAATTTATCATGGGCAGTAATACTTTTCTATAAAAGATGTGGTCGAACGTTGTCTTGCAAGAAGATTGGCCTGTCTTTTAATCAATCTCGGTTACTTAATTGCAAGCTTCCTCATCATTTCGTCCAATTAGTTGTAGTAAATATCCGCTGTAATCGATTGATTAGGTTTCATGATACAGGATAAGAACAAGTGCTGGACCACCAAACAGATACCATTACCTTTTTTTGATGAATATTTGGTTTCGGACTATGTTTGGGCACTTCATCTTTACCTAATCATTATGCCGAACATTTGCGACTGTCGAAAAAAATTAATTTTTTATCACAGATTATAATACAATATAGAAATGGTTCGCTTTTATGCTGTGATAACAAAGAAAAGCTTGGAGACGATTTTTCTTCTGACATTTAATTCATGCAGAACCCATCTATCCAACATTTTTACGATTTGTTTAAAATGATTCAATATTGTTGAGATAGTAACGTTAAATTTTGCTGCTAATTCACACGTAGTTTGAGATGTATTTGCTTCCACTACAGCTTTTAACTCATCATTATCCACCTTGATCTCAGATCGCCTATTTGGTTCATTTTCAAGATTAAAATCGCCAGAATAGAATTTCTCAAACCATCAACTGTGCGTTCATTAGTTACAACCTCGCCAAACACGTCGTTGATATTTTGAGCTGTCTACACTACATTAGTTCCACGGCGGAACTCATATTTGAAAATATTTGAAAAAAAAATTTTTTTTTATCCATGATTTCACAAAAATTGATCTGAAAAAGACAATTCGAAATATTATCTTTCGAATCACAAACCAAAACGTGCGTTTAAAAGAGTGAACTTTTACAATAAAAAAACCAAAAACTGCCAAAGTGAAATGTCAGATATCGACTCTCAAACTTAATACTTAAGGAAATTGGATATTTCATACTTAATAACCTAATATTTACTAATATATTTATTTATTTTTATATTTAAAATTGTGAATAATATTAAGTATTATTATAAATATTAAAATATTAAAATGTTAAATTAACAGCAATTAGAGACTACTCTGTAGCACATAACTGCTTTCTATAACATATTGATGTAATACAACAATTCGTACTTTTTTGTCTTGTAACTTATTATTTAAATACTTTCCTGATAAACAATGATATATAAATTGTTTCATGAAATTTCATAATATATTATATGTTTTAAATTACAAAAGTTATATTGTTTTAGAAATTATAAATGATTACATCTTTTTAAACTGTCATATTTTTTTATAATTTATAGAGTTATATGTAAAAACATATATCAGAAAAGTACATCTAAAGGTGTTGATCCAATACCTTTTCTTGGTGGTATAGGTCTGTAAGTATATCTTTTTTTTTTAATAATTAAAAACTTTTGTTAATGATAATTAAATTTAATATAATTCGTAAATAAAAATGTTATGTACGTTACATACACATATATACATGGTAGATTATTTTATTCAATACACGCGAATACCTCGAAAAAAGTTTTTTTTTTTTCAAAAAATATTCCAGACAAAAGTTTTATGGCTTCAAGAGGGAAAGTTAATGACATTATCAATTTAATTGTAGGTAGCGTCATTTTCGAGATTTCATCATGACGGCCATTTTTTAAATGGAAGTCGATTTTTTTTCGAAATAAAATTTGTAGCTGGCTATAAGATGAATATAGGGGTTTTTTTTAATTGAATCTTTTTTCACTGAGTTACAACGTTCCAAAATATATAATTTAAGTAGAAAACTTCCACCTCCATACAGTGTGCGTATTTTGTTGCCGATAGGCTCAACAAATGGTTAGAAGTAATCCAACCTTTTTGTTATATAATATTTTGTGATGAAGTAACATTTGAAAATTGCGGACAACTAAACAGACAATTGTTATTATTGAACAGATGTTAACCCTCGTTGTTACAGACAAATAGACAATCAACATCGCTGAAGTATTAACATGTAGTGCGGTATTATTAACGGCTACTTAATTGGTCCATACATCTTTGATGGTAATATAAACGGTCAGAACTTTAGCCTTTCTAAGGAATGAACTGAGCGCGAGCGTGACATAACAGCGCACTAGTCTACTATGCTAACGATACCGGATTCGATCCCGATAGAAGCCAAAATATTTACGCTCGTGTCTCCTCTCGGAAAGAAGCGGCAACCTACCGAGAATATTTTTGCCAAGAGAACTTCTCTAAATAATATACCGTTCGGAACCGACGTTAAACTGTAAGTCCCATATGGTGTATAATCAGCGTGCGCACCAGACATATGAGAGAGGTCATCTCGCTTGGACACAGAAAATAGGACTGAGAAGAGAAGAGAAATAATGAACTACCACGATTACTTGAAGATATTGACTTATACACAAGATTCAGAATGTGGATTCAATTAGATGGGGCTCCACCACATTATGCGAAAATTGTAAGAAATTATCTAAATAAACACTACAATGGCATGTGGATTGAACGAGGTGAATCAGTAACATGGCCAACGCGATCTCCCGACTTGACGTCACCCGATTTTTATTTATGGGGCTATTTAAAAAATATGTACGAACGGGACTCCACGACTCAAGAATACATGATTCAGAGAATCGAAACTGTTTATATAAACATACTATACATCGTATTACTAGAAACTGTTAGCCATTTTAAGAGAAGAATTGCGTTGAAAAATTCAAGAAAATGGAAACATCTTTGAACATTTTTTTTTAATATGTTAAAAAAAATCGTCAGAGGTAAAGGGACTCATGTAAATCAAACATCTCAAAGGGATGAAAGTCCCGCCACGTCCACGTCGTTCATCCTGGATAATGCTGAGCACGGAAAAATGCGTGTCAATCGGTCTGGAGCTAGTTGACTATCAATCAGAATTAGTTCGGATAACGGATAGAAACAACACAGAGAGAGAGAGAGAGAGAGAGAGAGAGAGAGAGAGAGAAAAGTGGATGGCAATTTGGAGTCACAAAATACACACACTGTATGAGGGTGGAAGCTTTTTACTTCAATTGTAAAATTTGGAACGCTGTAACTCAGTGAAAAATGATCTAATTAAAAAAAAAACACTGTATTCGTTTCATTGCCAGCTACAAATTTTATTTTGAGAAAAATCGATTCCATTTTAAAAAATGACCGCCATGATAAAATCTCGAAAGTGCCGCCATTTACAATTAAATTAATAAAGTCATCATCTTTCTCCCTCGAAGCCATGAAACTTTTATTTAAACAATTTTTTGAAAAAACTTCTTTTCGAGATATTTGCATGCATTGAATAGTCTACCCTGTGTGTGTGTGTGTGTGTGTGTGTGTGTGTGTGTGTGTGTGTGTAACATTTTTGCTTGCAAATTATATTAAATTTAATGATCATTAACATGTATATATATATACATAACAGAAATAAATATTTTAAGAAGTAAATTAAAAATAAATACTATATTGATTAAATTAATTTTGTAGATGTATATTGATGCTTCGATATGCATGGATGTTGGGTGATCCTGCAATGATAAATGTTAATGTATTTGGTGTTGTAACAAATGCAGCATATATGACAGTATATTATTATTATGCTCCAAACATAGTATGCCTACAGATATAGATTCCATTAACCCCTATTTGGCACTCATGGATCATATTAATTCTAGTAAAATATTAAGATATTTTAGTTATTGAATCTTAAATTAGTATATATATAAGCAGAATTCTCGGTCCATAGTTGTTTTTTATAGAATTACATGCTTTCAAATTTTGTAAATTTACTTTTTGTGTATTAAAAATTTGCATATTATATGTGTGTGCGTGCGTGCATATGTGAATAAACAAATTTATAAATATTTAAATAAAAGTCTAACAGAAAAGTTAATGGGTCTCACAAACCTAATATGCAAAACTAAACAATAAAAAATAAAAAATAACTGTGCCAACAAAGGGTTAAGATATATTGCTTTTACAATTAATTGAAATTATATTTTCTACTTATGTAATATTTTATTCTTTTTAGAAGGATGTACTCAATCTAATATGGAAAGCAACAATTTTTGTTACAGTCTTTCTTGTATATGCACAAATAGAACATCCATCAAATGTTGAATTTAGGTTCGGCATAGTGGTTACTGCACTGCTCCTCCTTTTAATTGCAGCTCCTCTTATACATCTTGTAAGAAGATAATCAGTTTTTACATGGAACTATCTGAATTTTCAAGAACACTATCGCATATTGATTACAAAATTTGCTCGTTTCAGAGGGAAATTATAAAAACAAAGAATACAGAAATACTTCCATTTCCACTTATCCTCATGGGTACTTTAGTTTCTTTCAACTGGCTATTATATGGTCTTATCATTGATAATGTTTTCATTATCGTAAGTAGTTTTATAATGTATTTGCATAAAATATTTTGGAATGCAAAATAATCTGCTATACATATATATTACAAATTATAACTGTATATGCTCTAATAGTTCCAGAACGCAGTTGGTTTTACACTTAATGTAACTCAACTATCTCTTTTTGTGATATTTCCATCTAAAAAACCACAGGATGGATTGTTGAGCGAACAAAAAAAGGAAGATTAAAATGATTTTCTAAAGAAGACATATTTCTTATAAAAGAGGGCGTTTAAAAATGGCCAATTTTAGCCGTGAACGGACACCTTTAAAATCTATGCAGTTACCATGTTAGAAATCCATAAATTCATGAGAGAAAGTTTATCCAGAAAAGCTTGAGGAATCTCCCAAAAATAATAAAGTAAATTGTTTGAACGCTTTGAAAAAAAAACTTATTTTGTTTCTAATGAATGATGATAGATTTCAAAACTAATAGTGTGTTTATATCAAGGACCTGGATCGGATCGGAATCAAAACCGAAAAGCATATGAAAACCGGTATTTTTGTCAGACCGAAACCGTAAACTATACCGAAATTTTATAAAGAACCGAAAACAGCCCGGAACCGAAATCGGAACCGTTACATTTTTTCGGTTCACTATTTCGGTACTTATTTTGTGATTTTAAAAAATCGTTTTTTTTTTCTTTTATAATAAAGTTTTTATTTCTCACGAAAAAACAGGACATTGATTAATTATCGCGCCAAATAGAAAATAAACTTCAAGTATATGATATTGAACAGAAGAGGATTAGTAGAAGAAGTAATATATTACAATTTTGGAATAAATAGAAGTAATATATCATAATTTGGGATAAATAGAAAGACAATCATCCTGAATTGTACAAATTATTTTAACGGAATGTATATATTCTGAGAAAGTTTGGAGAATATCGAAATATTCTTCGAATATACTCAGAATCTATATAATTTATTTAGCGTATTTAGCGGGAACGGCGCGGGTAGGCAATGTTTTCAACACGTTCCCGTCCATTCTTAAATTCATTATACCTATGCTTCACCCGAGCCCATGAAAAGGTTTTTTCCCCGAACTGTGGGAATAAACGGCGCCGAATTTCAGCAGCATTTACATTTTCGTTGACGAGAAACTTAATAATAACACGTTGTGCAACTGCGGGGTGTACCTCTTTCTCGCTCATCGTGATTGTTAAGTTCACCATCAAATACTTTGTAGCCAATGAAATGAGCCGTACAGCATCTGAAATTAAACTTAAGGTGACCTTAAATATAAGATCCGATTAAACCGTTCTTATATTTCAGGCCGTTATAAGCACATTTTCAAACATTTCTTAGTTAATAAAATTATTCTTACGAATGTTGTAAAAATCATTTCATTGGTTGAGACTGCGTTCTTTTTGGACGCGCACGTGCTGAAAGAATAATTTTATCTTCCTTTGATATATTATGAATAAGGGTGCTTTCCAGCAAAGAACGCAGTGATTCACGCGGATACTTCCGTTGCTTGGAACAAACGATTATTTAGTTATATAGCAGACTCCATTAATGCTGTCCCAGTAACATCGAGAATTTCCAATCAGGAGCATTATTTGTGCATCATGACTATTGATAATTTGATAATTCCATAATGGTTCTTCAAAACAGCAATCATGATACATAAATATTCAAAAATAATGTGCCTAATTCGAAAACCTCAGTATTACTATGTCTAGGGAATGGAATATTATTTACAATCATGATATTGTACATAATAATTTTTATTTCACACATAAAATGAGAACACAGTCACATATTAGAGAAAAAAAAAACAAATCACACATTAGAAAAAAACAATTCACACATTAAAAAGAAAAAAATACATTTAAAACAATTCACACACATTAGAAAATAATCGCGTAGTTAAAACTCGCGTTTTTAATTTTAACCAATTAACGCCGATAATGGTGATGATGGCGATGGAGGTCTCACAGTAAGCATTTCCAATTCAGTGCAATAAGGTTGACGCACAGTGCCGGATGTGCCTTGAGTCGATTCCGACACTATTCCTTGACTTTTATAAGGTTTTTTCGTTCGATCGTCATTATTCCTTCTCACTCCTTCCGCGCCACCATTCTCATATCCAGTTTTAAAACACATCTTCAATCTGTAACATTGATTATTTGTTGTACGTATATAATACAAATAAGTGATAATTTCTTGGATTCGTGCAACAACGCGCGCGTAAATATTAAAACACGGTCGAAAACTCTACATCGCAAATTTGAATATATCGATTGTTTCCGGCCATGATCATTCAAACTGAAAAGAGACAGCATGATACAACAATATCTGATCACCGTAATAGGGATATTCCAATTTCAGTGTGTATAGCGTTCAATGGTTGCACAAGAATAAACATAACCGAGGATATTTAAATGGTTGTACAAGAATAAACTTTACCGAGGATATTTAAATTGAGCAAAATGTAAAGATGGTCCTGCAACTGCCAACATTGGACACATTAAGAGTGTAGCGTATATCCAACTTATTGTCATCACGAGCAGCAAGAAAACACCAATCTGTATATAGGCCATAACATGAGAAGGTAACATTAAAGCGCCTGCAGCTCCAGTCGTAATTGCTGCCATAAAAGTTGGCCCACCCATTTGTTGTAATGCTATTTTTACTCTATCTATTCTTGCTTCAGTGATAGATGTTTTAAAACTCACAGCGTAATGCAAACTGAAGTCTACAGCAAGACCTGACAAAATAAAATGGTTATCATCTGTCTTGGCACGACTCGCTCCAACAGTTTCCGTTATTCATTTACTTTTATCAAACCTACAAACAGCTTGTACACCTTCATGAATCGCACCGACTGCCATCCTCCCCTCCCTCCCCCTCCCGCAACATCTAAACTTCTCTCAAAGATACAAAACGCTCAAAATATGACAACCCTCAAAAATACATAATACTAGCCAAAAATCATATGAAGACTTGACGAGTATTGTTCCGCGCCTTGTTTAAAGAAATATTATTGTTAAAGAAATATTATTGTTGATAATAATAATAATCCTCTACACAGCGAACAGCACGCGGGGCAACACTCTCCGAATTCCCCACCCGATTTTCAACCAATACCATCCTTGAGATTGAGCGACCCACGTTTCTAAGAGGAATACAGATGCTATGAAAAGAAGTAAGAACAACCGTCGGCGATATCCACGGAAAAATGCAAACTGTTCGCAAGCCTGACTTGTACATATTTTGACTTACCTATTGCCGTGGAGACTGCAACACTCTCTAAAACGTTAAGTTTCCAACCAAGAAGAATGAGTATAGCAACCGTTACTATTATGGCAGCACCGACAGTCACAATAGCATACAGACTGATAAGAGGATTTAGAGTCACCAATGCCAATACTATCAGAGCCAAGATTAACGACACTCCTATTGCCCATATGGTACCGTTGTACAATGTACGTTGCAGCTCAAAAAATTCTAATCTACTCACGAACCAACCACGTTGCATTCCTCGCGGTGCATTTTGTAATTGACCTTGCATCCAATTTTCGACCTACAATCAGAAAAGCTTTACTAAAAAAAAAGTCTCACTAAAATAAAACTCGCTTCTTATTTTACATACACGCGCACATACACACACACACAGCAATCTGTACAGCCTCTTACCTGATTAAAAAATGTATTCATGCTTGCAAACGATAGAGTATACGCATACGAACTATCGTATTCAACGACAAGTGCTTTAATTTTGGCCGTTAACTTTGTCGTGACGTTTGTGCCCATTGTGGCGAGCAAATGCGGCGGTTCTTTTACAAATTTTAGACCCGCAGCATTACTTCGAATCCACAAATAAGAAGGTGTGCGATGTAATTCTGCGGTTGCTTCAGCCGCACACTGTTGCAAGACACTTGGTTCGTATGGAAATTTGCTGCTTTCGCAGCATGGTGAATAGTCGATATGAGGATCCAGAGGATCCAGACAACGTCTTTGCATCCACGAACGTAACGATTCGATAAAACAATTAGATAATAAAGGTCCCATGGTATTGCGATAAAAAGGCTCACTGCGTAAATTCTGGCAAAATTGTTCGAGCCATAATTGCGATTCCGGAGCAGTAATGTCGAAAGTTTCGTCCCATTCTGGTGTTCCTTTTCTCGAGGGATCGAGATAATCGCCATTGTCGATAGGCTCAATGCCCCATACAAATCTCAACGGTAGAATTTCTGTCGAAGCGTCACCACCGACCTGTATCAAAACGATATTTCTAATAACGTATATCATTGACAGAGAAATTTTTATTCATATATATGCCCATAGACAAGAGAGGCGTACCTCCCTAAATTTTGGGAAGGAAAAACAATTGTGAAAATTATAAAAGTAATGCTACTGACATATTACTATCTGCAGTCTACCAACAACTATATTAAGCGTAGTCTATAATGGGCAGTAGGAGCATGTTCGTAAGAAGAATAAAAAACCAATTGACCAATCATATTCGAATGTAAGCAGAATAATCGACTATGGTCGGTTAATTTCTTATTCTTACTTCTTATTTAATTTAAACATACTCCTACTGCTTACTGTAGATCACGTTTTACATGTTCTATAATAAAAAAAAAAAAAACTAATGGCAAAGTATTGGCACTGCTTTATGAAAATTTCTCAATTTTATTACTAGGCGACCTAACTGTGCACGAGTCTCTTAGTACATTGAGGAAGATAAAAACCTGACCAACAATACCAGAAAATCGCCTCTAAATAAACTAAATGTATACTTGATGCACATAAATAAATGATGCTCGCGAAAAGAAAGAAGCTGAGAAACGTATTAACACAGCTCGATCCGCGATAACTGGCTTTGATATAAACATGCTAATAAGTTTTAAGTGAAAATAAATTTTTGCCCCCTACCCCTAACTGAAAGCTTGGGTACGCCCATAGTTATACCACAATATAGTTTTCACACAATGTCATATAAGCTTTAAATCATGGTGAATATACGAGGGCGGTCCGATAAGTACTTAACCTACAAAAGAAAAACGAAAATTTTGGAAAAGTGGCGATTTATTTCTCAACATAGTCTCCTTTTAGCTCGATACACTTGACCCAGCGATGCTCCAACTTCTTTAACCCATCTGAAAAATACGTTTTCTCGAAGTCTGCAAAGTAGGCCTCCGTGGCGGCGATGACCTCCTCATTCGACTCAAATTTCTGCCCGGCGAGTGACTTTTCAAGTTTGGAAACAAAAGAAAGTCGCACGGGGCCAAATCTGGAGAATACGGTGGATGGAGTAGCAGTTCGTAGTCCAATTCGACCAATTTGGCCGAATGAGGAGGTCATCGCCGCCACGGAGGCCTACTTTGCAGACTTCGAGAAAACGTATTTTTCAGATGGGTTAAAGAAGTTGGAGCATCGCTGGGTCAAGTGTATCGAGCTAAAAGGAGACTATGTTGAGAAATAAATCGCCACTTTTCCAAAATTTTCGTTTTTCTTTTGTAGGCTAAGTACTTATCGGACTGCCCTCGTACTATATAATATAAATGTCAAGTTTGAGACATATGACACCTGATATGTACACATTCTATATCAGGCATGTCCAACTTCTATCAACCCCTATCTCCCGATCTTTAACATTAATGCTCTCAACGCGGTCGCCTTTATCTCGCTCCTTCTCCATCTCACTCCGCAAGAGGATGAATAGGGAGATGAGTTTTAGCTCTTGAGCTAAAGTTGGACATACCTGCTCTACGTGTATATAATGACTATTTTTTTTTTATAAATATATCGGAAATAGAGAAATATACCATTTCGTATCTTTCGAACCAGAATCTCTGCGAAAATATTAGATCATATTGTTCGAATGGATGCGTATTATCGAACAATTGAAAATCAATGTAGTCTGGCAGTTGCAAGCCCGGATAATGGAAAACAATAATGCAACATGCTATCGTCATAGTCCCCAAGCTTAATATCCAAATGCATCGTAAACCAATCACTATTTTAGTAAGAAAAGCGGTAAATCCTGCTGCTACTTTATCTCCAAAGGATCGCAGAGGACGAATAATTCTTTCGCTGATGAATTTTGGCAATGATAAAGTACATTTACAACGTTCCGACACTATCACACACGCTGGTAACCACGTGATCATCAAGAAAAAGTTAGCAATGACAGTTGTGCCTGCAAATAAACTACATATCCAAAATTATGAGCAAATGAGCATACACAAGTTTCGAATGAATGTACGAAAGAGCACTTTGTGTAATTCAAAATCAAAATACCTGAAGCAGTTGATAGCGGTCACATTACTAACAATTGACGCAAAAAAAGCTACCGCTGTTGTAAGAGATGTGACAAACATCGAAGGAAAAGCATGTTTCATGGTTTCTTGTACCAAACATACCAATCCGCCGTCGGAAAACCCATGCCGCTTGTTAGAATTCCATATTTTGCAATATATAAATGCATCATCTGCACCGATCCCTGCAAATGTGAGGAAAGTATTCGTGTTAGGCATCATAATGATCATTATAATATCAAAAAATGTATGTATATATGGATTCTTGATCTTAAATACCTATAGCTACAACGATGGCCAGGAAGTTCATGAAAGGGAAGAACCGAATACGCAAGACAAGAGTATACATTGCGTATGAGATACCGAGACTAAATACCACTGCGAAAATAGTCGTGATGGTTAAAATTACGGAGCCAGTGTATGCCCAAATGCAAAGCGTAACAAACACAAAACCAGCGAGTAACAAGCTTGAGTCAGATACTAACAGTCGATCGAACAGCGTACTCTTTAGGCCAAATTGCATGCCTTGTACACGAATATTTCCGTATATTAGGTCATCGTGTCTCGTGTCTATCTCTTTGTAAAAATCTAAAGTCGCGGAGCTTGCCGCTACTGGAAGAAATAGCATAACGGATTGCAACGTCGAATTTTGTTTGTTTTCAATGTCTGTCTCCTGTAATGTAACGCAACCGAATTAGATTCGCGAAATCGTCTAACATTGAGCATTTAATTAAGATAATGTGAAAGGCATGATGATCTTACATGAGAGGGAATAAAATCAACATCCAACAGAAAATGCAGTAGATAATAAGCAGCATTTCTCACGTAACATTCTCTCGGCACTTGTCTCTGGCAATTGGCGTCTTCCGCACAGTTGGGTAATAACTGGCGATTATGATAGTAATAAGCGCACTGTTCCAAAAGCATTTTCACCCTGTCTAGATCATTTTCCGTTACTTCTAGACAAGAACTGCGATTGGATAAAAGTGCCACGTAATTGGCGGGTGACCAGCTTCTACAACATTTTGGATCGGCACCACTACGCTCCACTTGTGTCTGACACAGAGATGTAAAGTGGGTATTCGCGCGAAGTGCACCGTCAATGTGACATTGTGCCGATATACCTTCCATCGACCACAAATTAGTTTCTTTCGAATCTGCACCAATTACAACACGAGCGTAGGAAGAAGTTGGCAAGTTGCAAAAAAAATTATCATCATTGGAATGATCCTTATTTTTTTTGTTATCCGCTAGATTATTTACACGATGCTTGTTTCCTAATCCCAGTAATTCTTTCGCATCTTTAGTCTCATCATTTGTTTGGTTGTGATTTTTGTCATTTTGTTGTTTACGTTTACCTTTTTTTTTTCCTTTCTGCTTATGTTTGCCTTTCTGTGTTTTTCGATTGACATCCTGAATAGGCAAACTAGAATTTTTTATATTTACATTGAGCTGCAAAAAATGTTGATACATTTTTACAATCATTTGCCAATTATACGTGTCAATATTCCTAACTGAATTACATTCATATGACAAACGTATCACTTGGCAACCAGGACACCAAGTTGTAAAAAAGAAAAGTCTAATAGTATTGATTCCGAAATTCATCGCCAATGCTAAAAATCTGTAATTCATATTACTTGATTCATTGTTCATATACTATAGATTTTCAGCGCTGACGGTGCATACTAGAATAGCCTAGGTATACCTGTTGACTCTGTATATATCGATAATACTCCAAAGGATTATCCACAAGCTCCCCACTTGCTCTTGTAGATTCCATTAAATTTTGCCAGGCTGTAAATCTTTGCGCCAAAATTGTACCTCTTGCTTCGAAACCCTGTGTACATACATAGTGCAAATTGTCGATAAATGTGCTATTCAAAGCTGACTTTACATTTGTTACATACCATTTGAGGGTCTGAAAAATCTGGAAACTTCTTGGTCACAAGTGGAGTAATTAGACATATCAAAGAAAATACAAGAACCGTAGTTAAAATAATATATGGATAATGAACAACCATTCGAGAAAACCTTTCCATTTTTACAATGTTGCGTACCCTTGCTCTTCTATATTATCTTTACATTCATAAATCTCAATACTATGTGAAAAACCATGAGTACATTTCTGAAAGAATCATCATACTTGATCATTGTTATCGAATGTCGCTCGAACAAAACTTTTTGAATAACTAAATTCATCATCTTACCCTAGTATCAGCAATTAAATTTTACCAGGTAAAATACTTTGGCAACTCATTTATGTCATAATCTATACGAAATCCGAATAATCCGTGGTATCTGAGTAATCAATAACGAATACCTAAAGGAATGATCATATAAATACAGTCTGTCTAATAAGAGCGTAGTCGATATAACTTTTAAACTATTTATTATAAAAAGATGAAAAAAATACATATATACTATTCACTCAGTACTATGACGCTTTTATATTAATAGAGCATTCAATCAATTATTGCCTGATACCTTCGAGTTATACTTTCTACCAATTTTACAGCGTACTTTTGAGATAAAGATCGTGATATCGAACGAATCTGTTGAGATAATTATTTCACCGTATACACTTTTTCCATGCAGCTTTATTTTCATTAACCCCCAGACATTTTCGATTGAATTTGCGTCTGATGACTGTGATGGCCAGTCTAATGTTTCGACGTTATTTTCTTCTTTCCATTGGGAACAAAGACGACTCCGATGTTAGAGTCGTTCTCTAGCGAAAGTCGGACAATAACAGACTCTCTGACCACAGTATAAGTAAGAACAAAAGGTTTACTACGTGAAAAATAGTGAAAACGATTGTCTCCCGCGCATAACTGAACCACAGTATAAGTAAGAATAGTAGGTTCACTCCACGGCGGCACTTTTGAGGAGCTTCTGTTTGTTTTCGCTGCACCGCTGAACTAGTGTAATAAGTTGAAGTGAGAAAACATATACTTGTCTCGCTTCAACTTACGCCCTAATTCAGCGGCGCAGCGAAAACGAACAGACTTTTGATCTCGGTGGTAACCAATCGCCATATTGTTGGTTGTGCGTAGGTTATAATTTGAATGACGCTAGATGCTGACTAAAATAAATCTCTATGTCCAGACAGCACGAAATCTCCAATGGACGTCTTTAGAATGTTCTGTGGAGATCTGTACTGTTTGGATAATGTTGTATGGATTAATTGACATGATAATTAATAGTTGGTAAATGTAAATATACATAATGGAAATATAAAATGATTTTCAAACAAAAGAATTAAATAATGATTTTAAAATAAAGTCAGAACATCAAAATGTCTAGGAAAATAATAAACTAATAATTTTACTTTTGCAATCAATTCCTTGTGATTTAAATGTCTTCATGATTTTCTATTCTACTTGGGTAATAATTATTCCCCAGGTAGAACAAAAAATCACGTTAACATGAAAAAACATGAAATGATAATGTAAGGAAATATGTGGAATCAAAATATTATGTTTGCATCACATAAATTATATTTATGTAAAATATATTTATTATGACAGCTGCTGGCCGCTATGTTCTTGATTGTGCAGTTCAGTCAAGCGCGAGAGACAAGCATTTGTACCATTTTTCACGGAACGAACCTACTGTTCTTACTTATACTGTGCTTATACTGTGCTCTGACGATGCGTTGTAGGGGAAAAGTCCTTCTCTCTGCTCCTTCAAATATTCTCGATATAATAGTTTTCAAACAAAAATTTGCCCGACTATGCTCTTATTAGATAGACTGTATAATAAATTTTGGCCCAATTATTCAAATTTGTCAATACTTCTCTACTTATCCTCATAATAATTCAGTAATGTTTGATACTAGCGATTCATTAATTTCTCGAAAAAAGAACACATTATGCGTCAATTTGAAATAATAGTCTGTTTTTTTCAAAACACTTTCTGCACTAGTGCACACCAGTGCAAGGAGTTTACACTAAAGCGTTCTTTTTATTGAGAATGACATTATCATGACGTCATCAACGCTTCGTTTTCGCAGTGTAACAGCATGTAGTGCAGGCAGTTCAGTGAACTGTTGCACTGAGTCAAGGGGTCAGTGCAGCACATGAAAGTGTAACTTGGAAGTGCATGTAAGCGTAACGGAAATTTATACGAAAAGTCTATCAGGTATGTCGCTTGCATTATATTGAAATGTGTGAAACATCTTTATTTTATTTTCAAAAATTGTTAATATTATACCATCACACACACACACACACACATACACAGCAGAAATGTCCAAACATACCACAAAAATTAATTTAAGATGTCAAGATATCTTTATGATTTTATATTTATATTTATTTTATATTTAGTCATTTATTTAAATTTATGATCGGTAGGATATATAATATTATAAATTATTAATAAATTCGCTATATTTAGTTGTATATTACATTCATCGTTTTCATCTACAATGGGATGTAATAGTGGTTGTATTACAACAAAATCCTCTTCGTCAAAAGAATCAAATAATGTCATGTGATGAGCTATGTTGTTTACTACATTCTGGCGTTTCAGCGGTGCAGCGAAAACGAACAGACCTCTTTATTACCTTTTTGCACTGAACTGAACTATTCTGTACTAGTCTTTCCCAATGCGGTTCAGTTCAGTTCAGTAGTTCTAGTACAGTTTTAGTGTAACGAAAAAAACAGACCTCATGTGCCATGAGTGCATAAATCCAAAAGTTCCAAAATCTTAATCGACAGGTAGAATACTATTGACTGTATTCGGTAGAGAAAGCAGCTTTGTATATGTTGTACAATTTGTGAATCTGATTGGTGCACACTCTTAGATTCAACTAAGTCAAAGTCATCAATATTTGAAGAACATCGATGTTTCGCTCATTGAAGATAGTATTGCATCTAGAGAAAATATTAGGAATTTTAGAAATTCTCTGTCCGACAGCCAATCGGCACATCTGACAAACTCATATGACATCCTTAATGAGCGAATATCGATATAACGGGCTTCGACAGCTCACATAGGTGATTGGTTAATATAAAATTTTATCATAAAATTTTTTAATTAGTGATCCAGCGAAAAGACTCTAGGCCGATGTGAGTGAACTATCGGAGTGGGACCCAATTGACCACTTCTCTATTGACCATAGGCTACATCAATTGGAGGACAGAATCTACACAGAATCATCAAATCACGGCTGGTTGTGGTTGGTCAATTGTAGCATGGTTTATTGGGATCCTCCCGTGCTATCGCTACCGCGCTAACGTAATCCTTCCCATCGATGTTTTTCAAACATCGATTATTTTGCTCATCCTAGATTCAAACGAAATTAAGAGCGTATTCAATCAGATTTACGGATCTTATAATTATTGTAAAGCTCCTTTTTCTGTTGAACACAGTCATTAATTAACAAATCATGATAAGAAAATTTTTGCTCCTTTTGTCGTGATTGGTCAATTGCATGTTACTCTAACCGTCGAGTAGGGTTTTAGAACACAGCTCAAGAGTGGAATCATTCGTAATTTATATACTTACCTTGCGAATGATAGCTAATGATCGTACTGCTTTTCGGTAAAAGATGAATTTCGTATCTCTTATCTAAAAGGAAAATATATCTCCTGAGAATTGCTAGGAATTCACACTTTATCAAAAAAATAGAAGGCATCAGCCAATCAGAACTCGTTCTGATAGTAAGCAATAGATAAAACAGAAACTGTTGACTACCAGCGCGAGTTCTGATTGGCTGCTGCTCTTCTGCTTTTTCATCCAGTTTTAATTTATCTCTAAAACTCAAAAGGCATTCTACAATGCGTCGCACACACCCTGTCGCGAAAGATGGCAACTACTAGTTATAAAATGCTATTGCTTTGCGTTATTATGAAATGTTTCGATCGCCAGTTGCCAAGACTATATTCTTAATTTACTTTTATCGATAAAAATACTCCCAAAAGTAGTTTAAAAGCTACTTGATTGGCTGAGGAGCCACGTTTAAAGTACTTTTATCCATGAAAATAAATTCAGAATATAGATCCTTGTATTTACAATATTAAATCTTCCGGGACAGAGCTGTTACTAGAGTTACTACAAAAGTTACTAGAGTGCAGTACTAGGATATAAAAATCAGTGGAAATTCTAATATTTTTCAATCATCTACCAACATTGATACTAGATTTCGGTCCAAGATTTAGCATTGTGGATATACAAGGCCTAAGGCGAGTATAGTCAAATCTTATATCAATGATCATCTAAGTTTATTTACAGATGTTCAGTAACCAATAAAACGATCCATACAACATGTCAAGATGAACTTAAGACCATCTTTGATATCAGATCTAACTATGAACACCACCTATGATTCTCTGTACCAAACTGGGGATACACTGTTGAAATGCATCTTACTTTGAATCTCTATTCGATGTTGCAAATAGAGAAAATATTTCACGCAACTCGCGACTTATCTTGCATATTCCACGTATATGCGGCATCTGTCAGAAACGTCAACGTTTGTCCGAATTCAATCGTCACAGTGCAAAACAGATGAATTAATTTGTTTGAGGTATTTTTGTACTTTATAGTAAAAATATATTGTTTTCATATTAAATATGTATATTATTTATATAGTTTTTATTACTATCCTTGAGCCGAAGATATTTGGGTGAGTATAATCCGTGAAATATCATTATGTCGAATTCAGTATGTAATCTGATGTTTATATTTCATATAGCACGTAGGCTGATGTACTTTGAAAACGGCAGAGTTAAAATTATACTTTGTACCATATCACCTTTATTGCGATCCGTTTACGGCATACCAGCTGTATCAACGATTTCTACATCCTACCCAAGTGGTACCCATTAGAAGGATGTTTTTTCAGCTATCTTTAGCGATCTTACTTTTACATTTAGTAGATGGTAATTACTTTAGAACTAATTCCCGAAGAGATGATCAATGCTTCTGCAAGGTAACAACCATTATCTTCTGATAAGATTAAAATCACTATATTTTATCATTTAATTTTATTATTAACTATTTTGCAACCTTATCAAACTTACAACTACAAGATGCTGTTACTTGCCACTGCTCAAGAGATATTTTAATTCAATGAGAAAAATTATATTTCTACATATACTCCCATGTCATTGCACTTACATCGGTACATTATACCTGTTGTATTTTGAAAATCAACTGAAATTTTAGTTGAAAGGTTCTATAGACGACTGCACCTGCAATGTGGATACTGTGGACTACTTTAATAATATGAAAATATACCCGAGAATTCAAAGTCTTCTAGTCAGAGATTATTTTAGATTTTATAAAATAAACTTGAAGCAAGACTGTCCATTTTGGGCAGACGACAGCAAATGCGCTATTCGTTATTGTCATGTATTACCTTGTCAAGATGTGAGTATTATATCACAACATTCTTGCCTTTTGTTTTTATTCATTGCCCTTTATCATCTCTAGGATGATATTCCGGAAGGTTTGAAGGGAGATGTCCCAAGAAATATACACTTGAACGAGAGCCCAGTAGACAAATACAGACCGAATGCTCAACAATTGACTAACTGTAGGCACAGCGCGAAAGATCATAATATAGAACTCGGTTACTTAAACACGACGATTAGGTATGATCGATACGATGCTTTATCTACCGGATAAATATTGTAGATAATATTGTATATATTGCAATATCCACAGTATGGAGAATTACAAAGAATTTGAAAGATGGCAGCGGCACGATGATGCACAGGATAATTTCTGTGTAAAAGAATCTAGTCCTGGGGAATACGTGGATCTTTTACTCAATCCCGAAAGATATACTGGATATAAAGGTGTCAGTGCGCATAGAATTTGGCGGAGTATTTACATGGAGAATTGTTTCAGGTAGATTTGTTATTGTAATTCCACACTCTATTTCTGAGAACCAAGCTGTTAGAATCAAGTTATCGTGCAACATTTTGTATATATTTGTTGTAAAATATTACATATACGCATTAATATTATATTTGGCTATGTCAAATGTACATATATATGTATGTATATATATATATATATATATCGCTTATCTCCTCATTTTCACAAGTTTTTTTCTCGATTATATGTATAATAGACCATTATGATTACAGGCCTGAAAATTCACCTCACATTTTTATACAATCTTCTAAGATGAACGGTATGTAGTCGCCCCTCTTTTCTGCTCGACATAATTATTTGATCTTAATTATTATGCGTCTTTCAGATTGCAATATAAAAGTCTGCGCGTTTATATATTCTATTTTTATAGCGTCATTCAAAATATCTGACATATACGTATATCCAAATTTATAACATAATTTTGATTTATAACATTACGCAGAAACATTTGAGCTGAGCATATTTGTTACTTTGTTTTTACTTGTATGTATCTAAAATAGATAGAGAAAATAGGAATAAAGAAATTAACTGCACGAAACAACTGTATATATAGGAATTAAAGACATATTTTAATAATTCCAATCCCATACCTATTTTTGCGCGCGAGAATTGTATACGAGCTTTACCGAGCTTTTCCTTCTTTCGTTCGTCCTGACATTACAACACCCAATCATATCTTTCAGGAATGTGTTTGGAAAAACGAGTTTTTTACCGAGTCATATCCGGCTTGCACGCTAGCATTAATATACATTTATGTTCGAAATATTTGCTAGTCTCTCAAGATGGTTTGCGAGCATCGTCCGATGATAATCAGTGGGGTCCTAACTTGGAAGAGTTACAAAGAAGATTTTCCTCCGAAACAACAGGCGGTGAAGGCCCCATCTGGCTAAAAAATTTATATTTTACTTATTTACTTCAATTGAGAGCTTTAGCTAAAGCTGCACCTTATTTGGAAAGAGAGGGATATTATACAGGAAATAAAGTGGACGACGAAGATACAAGACTGGCTATGAACAACATATTAAGCATTGTCAAGTAAGTATGGTCCAAAGGTTGCAACATTTTTTTTTTTTTTGACAAGTTTCGCAACACATCTTATACAAAAATTTATCTCCTGAGAGTTATTAGAAAACAAAGTCTCCTATTGGATAGAAAATATGTTGCGTAAACTTATCGAAAAAGTGTTGCAACTTTCTTTTCACTGATCATATATTTGATATATGCACGATATACATTGAAATAAAAACGACGAAATTAAATGGAAATTAACGAAATTTCATTGTATATTTCTCAGGTCATTTCCAGAACATTTTAACGAGACAGTTATGTTTACCGGTGGAACACAAGCGCAATTGTTGAAAGAAGAATTTAGACAACATTTTAGAAATATTTCACGTATCATGGATTGTGTAGGATGTGAGAAATGCAAGTTATGGGGTAAATTGCAAATTCAAGGCTTGGGTACCGCGTTGAAAATATTATTCTCGGGTAAATTCGATAGATGGGAACCGACGCTCAACAATCTGAACCGGAAATTATTCTTCTTAGAGAGGAGTGAAATTGTCGCATTGGTAAATGCTTTTGGAAGGTAACTCATCTATAATATTTATCATCGTTTGTAATATTTACCACACAAAGAGAGACATTGGAAGAAAAAAATATTTGTCATTAATGCGAACAATCTTTACAGATTATCAGAAAGTATCTTCGAGTTGGATAGGTTCCGCAGGATGATGAGATAACGCACCAACAATTTATAATGAGGAATTTTCCAGTACTACGAAACATCACACAAAAACATCACTTTATTCGGGTTTGATGATATCATCAACCGCAATCAACGTCCGTATCTTGAATATACACAATTCTCTCTTCCGATATTATTAGTAACACACACACACATATACACACACACACACACATCAACATTTTATATTATATATATAAATATATATAGGACTGGTCCCATCAGAGTTTCCTTATGCTAATCAATAAATTAGATTTCTTAATATCGTAATATATAGCTACTTTGTATTATAATTGAAATTATTGCTATAATATATATATAAAGTAAAAGTGAAGATAAATTAACGGGTGAAAAAAGTTACTTGTGCAAGTGGATATTATATATATATAGAATAAGAAGAGACTGTCCTCCGAATTAATATTTTTTTCCGATTCTGTGTTGTAACTTTTGACTCCGTCTGTGATAAATATTTTATCTAAGGTACATATTTTTACATGACTTGGATGTATATTATATTTTAAATTTAGTGTTCCGTTTATATGATGCATATTTTTATAATCAATATGATATTATCCACATATATTACATTTAAACAAGCAGATGTATTGTACATATATAATTCTAAGATAATGTAACAGTAAAACAGATTCAACATGATGTGCACACACGTACGTATATATATATATATATATATATATCTT